TAATGAGGCTTTAGAGCTTTGTAGTGGTTGAGCTAGCGGCTGACAACAGCAGCCCTGGCGTATGAAGCATTTTTCATGGTGCTGGGAAGCAGGTCAGCATATGAAAATTGGATTTTAAAATTACATGGATGACAAAAGGTGGACGCTGCTGCATCCTAGAAGAGAGACTACTCGTCTTTCTTGTGTGCTTGAGTACACACACACACGTACACACGTTTTCCACCTCTGTCTACCAATCGTTTCTCATTCTCCTTCCATCGTCTTTGTCCCTCTCAGTACCATCGCTCTGTTCTCTGTCTCATTTATGCTCTCTCGCTTTTGCACACACACACACACACACACACACACACTCCCAGTGGATGCTGTGTATCTGAGACCTCTCCTCTCTCTCTCCTGCAGACTGGCTGCTGCTGAAGTGGAGGCGCTGCTTCAGCTGGAAGAAGAAATCAGTTAATAGAAAACAGGAGGGGGCTCCGGAGATGCCGCTCCCCCCCAGGACACTGCTCTGTCTGGGCATGCTGCTGATGACCGCTGGGGGGGTCATGGTCCTGTGTCTGGGCCTGCCCCAGCAGTCGGGCCCTCTGTTTCTAGTCGGGCTGTTCATGAGCCTGGGGGGCGTGGGCCTGCTGGTCAGTGGACTCTGCATGGCCATGAAGAATCTCCAGGTGGCAGTGCCCGGACACTTCCTCCTGCACCCGCGCACAGGCACGCGCTTCAGCCCGCAGCAGGCCCTGGCTATACAAAGGTACACGGGGCTTTAGGCTAGAGGCAGATTTTGGGGTTTATTATGTTTGTCAAAGGAGTGTGGGATAGCAGGGAGCAGTGGTTCCCAACAGGGCTCGGGGACCCCTCAGAAGGATGTGAATGGGATAAGAAAGAGGAAAAGACACTCTTCTGCCACACTATTTTGATTACTTGTTTTTACTTTTTCTCTTATCTTTGCTTTTTTCATGAAATACTAGTTAGTTTCACACCTTTTAACATCTCACAAGACTAAAAGTCAGCTCTGTAGGCAGTAGGCACAATGCTTTGACCTCAATGATAAGGGTAACATTCATTGAATGTGGACACTGAATTTTGACCTGAATGTGGTGCTGAATATAACATTAAAGGATCGCAAAATATATTACATTTCATACTGAGGAGGACATGAAAGCGTGTGCCAAATTTTGTCTTAATCCATCCAATAGTTATCAAGATATTTCACCACAAATTAACCTTGTGGTGGGGCTAGAGAAAAAGTCATGAGATCACCAAATTCATTAGGAACCATGAATGTACTTAAATGTTGGCATATTTCTGTCTGATCCAATGGGTTTGATCCACTTATATTACTACTCATAGAGCCAGGCTCAATGATAAAAAGGTTTGGAGACCCCTGGCAGAGTACAGAGTTAGACAACCCCTTTTTAAAGATACATAAACCAATCACGCTATCTTAAACATTGGAGCGCAGAACTTTTCAGGCTTCCCTTATGTTGTTAAAAATGAATAAACACGCTTACAGACAAATGCCAGAACACACCATCCAGGGAGACGAGCTGACAAACGGTCTTGTTGTTGAACAGATCTCTTGGACACATCACCACATATTAGTTACAGCGCACACTTTAACAAAGCGTAAGCACATTAGAACTTTAAAACACTGGACTTATGACACTGAAAATTGGAAAGGAACAGATTTTCTGATTATGGACTGATTATAGAAGTAGGTCATGGAGAAAGCAGCAGAAACACATGCATGTGGCTGACAGACTGCCTCTGGCATCGTCTGCGGTAATCTACAATAGCCCTGCGAATGTCAACAAGACATGCTCTGCTCATTGTCCAGCACTGAGGACAAGAGACACCAGGAGCACAGTTTCCATCATCAAGGATTTTTCTCCCTCCTGATGAAACTCAGACTATCTTTTCGGTTAAAATGTTAGTTTGAGGGATTAGAGAATGATGAATTAAATGATGACAGGGGAATGGTATGCAAACAACAGAATGCATTTCCTGAAGGAAATGTGTGAAAGCTGGGATCTGAAATGCACTGAAAGCTTTTAAAGGTGGAAAAGCTGTGCATTAAGGAGCCGCTGAAAGAGTATGAACTGTAGGAAGAGTGTTTTAATAGGGATACAATGATTGGGAGATTCTGGGCCAATATCGATGTTTAGAATAGCAATTTTGCCGATAGCCTCTGTTTTTTTTTTGGTTGTTATTCTCCCTTTGGTTCCAGGGAGACAAATAAATCTACAGATAAGCATCTCTGCCATGTTGCAGCTCATTCGATTTCTCTTCTCATCCAAGATGTGAGACGCAGCGCTGAACAGCTGCTCACTGTCCGTGCTGCTGCATGGAGCACAGCGGTGTGCTTGAAAACACAAGTGATTATTTCTCCAATATCGCAAAGTGCAAAATTGATGCGACACAACCGATAAACACAGACCACTGACAACAGTGAAAGCCATCTTGTTTGCCGATAGGCCGGTGGCAGTCAAAAAATTGGTGCATCCCTAGCTCTAAAATAATAAAAGGATGAGAGAAATGAGAATTTACTGAAATAAAGTATAAATAAGTGTAAGCACTGAAAAGAGCCGAGGTGCGTGATCACTGAAAGGAGTTGGCCGTCGGTTGCAGTGTAAGCACCGAAAGCTTAGTACACTTCTCACTGCCTCTCTCTCTCTCTCTTCAGGAGGTTGGACCGAATTCGTCGGGAGATGTCAGAGGACTCTGTCAGCAGGATACCAGATCCTGAACCCTCTCTCCCATCCACCCCTCCACCCTGGACTATGGAGCCGCCTCCATCCTACGACACAGTGATGAAGAGCCAGGAGCACAGCGAGCAGCTTTAACCTCTCAACTCTGGCGGACATCTTAACTTTGCATCTGTGCCTTTTGTCTTTGGTTCTCAGCGAGAACCTTGAACGAACAGTCGGTGCTATGGACGAACTCGCTGGCCTCTTCTGTGCCTTATGACAGCCGCCCTGAACCCAAACACAAGCCAAGAAACAGGAAGAGACTGCAGCTGGTTAAAGACTTCATATTTGTACAGACTGTGCCCCACTGTGGCCTCTGTGTCTACTAAAACTGTGTTGTGATTGATTGTGAAAGGGATTGAAGTGATCACCACAACTGCTTCACTCTCTACACTAAGGGCCTTTCTTGAGACCAGCATTATGTAACTTTTACAACAAAGCCGAGGGAGTCATGTCAACAGCTTGGCTGCAAGCCTCCTGCAGACATCTCATTAGGATATTTTTATTGGCCTGCTTGAATTTAATGTGACCTACTACTGTGGCTGCACTGCACTCTTCTTGAAACATGATAAGAACTTTCTTCACAGCTACTCTTTGTATCTGCACTCTTTCCTCTTATAACTTTATACGAGATTTATAGACAGCTCACTCCAATGCAAAGTGCCTTAACCGGTGACAGCAAAATGTCAACAGAACAGTGTTATTTATCTTTCAGCTTTGTATCCGGTGTTTGCATAACGTCCACTGTTCGTGCTATGTTGTGATGTTACTATAAACTTGAGTTAATGAATAGCTACAGGGCTCTCTGTGGGCGGTGTTGCACTTAGAAATAATGGATTGTTTATTTAAAAGAGGGAAACCCCGGAAAAAGGCGGAGGAGGGAAATGACGACTTAAAATGTCCAAACATACACTTGACTCAATACTGTTTAGAAGCTCGTTTGCGAGTCTCCTTTTTGCCAGCGGCTTGAGGCAAGGTGACCTATCAGGTACACACACACACACACACCTGCAATTTTATACCCGACCTGACCAGGCTGTCTGCAGGCTGTAATAACCAGCAGCGTGGAACCCTAACTGCTTTCTCCACCCTCAACTTCAAGCCCTCATGCAGAACAACGCCAAGTCTTTCCTAACAGCACGGCAGGTGCTTGAGTTTTAAGTTAAATTTGAGCTTCATCAGTCAGCGGCGGTCACAGCCATGGTAGAGGGGAAACCATATCGGTACGGGCTGATAGTGGCGGGTCTGTGCGTGGCGGCAGTCGGCCTCTTCATCATGACTCAGGAGCGACCACACATCTATGCCACAATATGCGTCCTGGGTGTCGGCATGGTGTGTGTCGGGACTGTGTGGAGCCTCTGCCAGTGCTATCCCAAGGTAGATACAGACTGTGTGTGTCAGCGAGAAAGACACAGGAAATAATGCGTGACTGCTGTAACTCAGAAATAGATTTGGTAATGTGTGGAGTGTGTGTGTTTGTTAGGTCATTTTCGCTCCTGAGATTCAGGAGAAAAGTCTAGAGGATCTAGTGTGTACTACAGCTCAAGCAAAAGATGAAAGGTACTGTCTCTCACACAGATACACACACACACACACATTGTCCTAATGGCCCACAGACAAGTGGGTGTTCATCCAGGCCTTAATGATTCCCTGCGGTTTGTCTGTGTATCTCAGGATGCTAAGCGACCATCATCTAGTGGGCGAAATGGCGACAGCAGCAGTGTAATGTGTCTGAGGGGAGGAAGTATCTGCACTAATACACCATAGATACTAATTTTATTATCTTTACAGGAAAATTAATGGTGATGTAATGGAGTAGCTATGGCAGCAGAGCAGAGGGGAGAAGTAGAAATGAGTTGTGAGGAGAGGAAAAGTGGAATAGAAGAAAAAGGAGAGCTGGTGGCCTGAAGGTTGTGACTGATAAGTGGAGATTATTGGAAACATGAGGGCGGAGACAGTGAATGAGTAACGCTCTCTTTTCCTATTAATGTTCCCTTCATGAAAGCACTTAGTATTATGGCCAGCGGGTGAAAAAGGAGGTTGTTCCTCGCAGCTCCTGCATGTGAGCGTCTATAACTACATGAATGCTCAAAAGCCAGATAAAGACATGCATGCTCAGCGAAACCCTCCCCCCAGATTAAAAAGTTATAAAATGAGGACAAAATACTAGAGCTATACCTCTATTTCTGTCTCTCTCCCTCCTTCCCTCATTTTGATTTAATTTTAGGCCTGCTGAGGCTCTGCCAGGTTTCTGTGGCCAAAAGTGGAGTAGCAGCAGACTTCTTCCCGAAGCCCTGAAGAGCCAGTGTCACAGCTGTCCCACGCTGCACCTGGTCTGAGGGAGGGACGCCATCATCAGAGGACTCGGCCCAATCAACACACTCCACCACACTGCTCTCAGGACAGGGAAAAGATCCTCTAATTTTTCTGGTCTTTTACTAAATGACAGCAGCCACCACACATGGTGCTGTTTGAATGTGTTTTTATGGAAGTGACTGATAATGTAATACTTCACTTTGTGTCAGTGTTAAGTTAATAAAGCTGAATGTGTATTGTGTGGTAGGTCCAGCAGATGGCACTATTTACTATATGAAGGAGTGTGTGTGTGTGT